TCCTTGGTGTTATAGCTCTGTCTTCTGGTTTATTGCCTCCCATCCAAGGGACCATGAGTCCAAAGGATATACTTTTTGCACTCATTTCTTCTTCTTGGTAGGCTTCAGCCTCTGGGATGACTCATTTAAAGCTGCTGTTGTAAGGTGCTATCAAACTGACTACGACTCATAGTGACCCCTATGAGCAAAAGATCATTCCTATCCTGCACTCTCCTCACAATCTCTGCCACGCTCCGGTCCATTGCTACAATAACTGTGTCAATCCAGCTCCTTGAGGGTCTTCCTCTCTTTCAACAATCCTCTACTTTTCTCAGTATGATGTCTTTTTGCAGGTGCTGGTCTTTCTTAACAACATGCCCAAAGTATAAAAGATGTAGTTTCAACATCTTTGCCTCTTAGGAGCAACCTAGTTCAGCTTCCTCTAAGACAGATTTGTTTATTCTTTTGGCAATACATGATATATATATTCAATAGTACCACAATTTAAAAGTACCGATAGTTCTCTGGTCCTGCTTATTCACTGTTCAACTTTAAGTAAATATGAGTGAAATGGTAAAACTGATCAGTCCCCTTTCAATCTACTTTATCTGCATGGCTATGGAGTTTGTTTGTTATATTTACAAGCTATCTAGTCTCCTTGGATTGTTCACAGCTTTAGTTTGCTAGGCTCCACAGTCAACACTCTTGGCAACAGCAGCCAGGAAATTAAAAGATGTATTGCAATGGGAAAGTCTGCTGTTAGGGACCTCTCCAAAGTACTGAAGAGCAATGGTGTCTCTCTGGAGACTAAGGGTGCGTCTGATACAGGCCATGGTCTTTGCAATCACTTGTTATGCATCAGAGAGTTGGACAATGACTAGGGAGGATAGAAGGAGAGTGGGTATCTTTGAGCTGTGGTACTGGAGAAGAGTATTGAGTGTACCATGGACTGCTAAGAAAACAAGCAGGTTCGTCTTGGAGAGGGTTAAACTGGGCGGCTCCTTAGAGGCAAGGATTCTGAGGCTCCATCTAACATACTTTGGACATGTTGTAAGGAGAGAGACTGCTCCTTGGAGAGAGACATCATGCTTGGGAGGGTGGAGGGACAGCACAGGAGGGGAAGACCCTCTGTGAGGTGGATTGATTCAGTGACTGGGGTAATCGGGATGGGAGTGTCAGAGACAGTGCGATTGACACAGGACAGAGCAGAGTTTAGGGCTGTTGTACATAGGGTCGTTATGAGTAGCAAGCAACTTGACGGCACATAACAATAACAACAACCACCCAGTCATTTGTTGGTAGTTAAAAGACTATGCCAAGTTGTTGCTGTTGTTGTGTACTGTCAGGTTGGAACCGATCCCTAGCTGATGCTCTGGCGGGTTTTCAGAGGCGGTTAAACACATGGGAGGAGATTTCCCACCCTTCTCCGGCCTGCTGAGGAGCTGGTGGCCTCAAACCGCATGCTTTCAGGATTGCAGCGCAGCTTCTTGCCACTAGGCCACCAGAGCTCCATACAAAAGGATGCATCATACCATACTGTTGTTAGTGTTGTGGTTAAGTGCTGTTGAGTCGTAGGCAACTCATAGTGACCCTATGAATGAAAGTCTTCAACACTTGTGTGGCTTTCATCCTTTCTCCAGGTTCATAGAGTTTCCGGAGGCAAGCTCTTTATGGAAGTGGATGCCATCCTGTTTCCAAGCTTGTTTTAATCGGGGACCTCCACTCAACACTGTCCACCATGGACATTATCACATTTGACATATATTGTCATAGTGTTCAGCTTCACAGCAGCCACAAGTTGCCTCTGTATGGCAAGTGGACAGACCAGGGCTATACGACCTAGAAGAAAGTTGGACCAAAAACAATTAAATTTGTTTTTTTTGTTTGTCTCATACCATACTCTTTATTGACCAGGCCATAATTTTGTGCAGTTCCTTTGGTTGTAGTTTTACAGACTCCCATTTCCAAAGTTAATGAAGTTCTCACATTCCCCTCCACCTCTTTTAGTGAGGTAGGTTTATGCATTTGTGTTGGATTCTCTTGCCATGATATATTCTTTCTTGGGATTTTCCTAACTTCCTAACTAATCTTTCTTTTTAATTTGCATACTTTAACGTTCACTTTTTTTGTTACAAAGTACTGAAAGTTTTGACAAATACATTGTCTCATGTATGACATACAGAATTATGTCATACTCTAAAGATTCCTTGAGTTCACTTTTTGCTTCTCTTCCTCACCTGGCAATCACTTATCTTTTTCCTGTCTCTATAATTTTCTTTTTATAATTGGAAGACAGAATATCTTATAATTGGAATCCTACTGCTTGTAACCTTTTCAGACTTCTTTTACTTAGGTTGGAAGCAGGAGTGGCATCCACTTCTGTAATAGCTTGCCTCTGGAAACCCTATGAACCTGGAGAGAGGATAAAGTCACACAAGTGTTGAAGACTTTCCTTCATAGGGTCGCTATGAGTCGCCTATGTCTCGACGGCACTTAACAACAACAACATACCACACTAAGTCCTTAATAAAAAAAAAAGGATCCTTAGTGGCATAGTTTTTTATGTGATTGGCTGCTAACCGAAAGACTGGTGGTTTGAACCCACTATATGGGGGAAAAATGTGGCAGTCCACTTTTATAAGATTTAACAGCCTTGGAAATGCTGTGACCTACAAGGACAGTATAAGTCAGATCCATGGGTTTTGTATTCAGATATCCTTAAAATAACCAAAGGAGTGCTGGTGGTGTAGTCTGCAGGGAATTGTGCTGCCAACCCAAAGGCAGAGCCTCTCTGGTGGCTCAAGGCTCCCAGTTACTTCTAGAGAGAAAGATCCTCCTATGCAATCTCCTCGAATGCAATTTACAGCTTTGGAAATCCAGCGAAAGCTGAGCTACAAATCAGTTCCAACTTGATGCCAATGAACTGAGTCGTAGACAATATAAACAATGGAAAACACCCTCCCCCCCTACACACACAAACTAGGAGGGGGAGATAAAAAACCAACAAAAACAAAATGATTCCTTGGTATTTGTTTGATAGCTGTTCAGTTCATTTACCTCTCAGGCAAATACTTTTATGCCTATACCATTATCTTAACCATCCCCACAAGGCAAAGGATAACAAATCTTAAAATGTCATTTGCAGGAACCAGGAACAAAGCTAGAAAATAAGCATGTGCAATAATTCTTAAAAAACTGATTTATCACAGAACTAGCATTCTTATGACAATGGGTTAGGTGTGATCATTTTTCTCTTTTTTTTTGGCTTATTTATAGGTTCTTTGATGTTGATATAAAAGGAAATATATCACATCACAGGTATTGCTTTATTTACCATGTATCTAAACTTACCATGCATCAGTCAAAGATGAAGTGGAAAGAAAGCACTCAAAGAATAACAGTTTCAAGAGTACAAGATAGTGAGTTTGCATGACATGTAATGAAAGAAACAGAGAAGTGTGCAAAGTGTTGCTTCTCTTCTTTCCTTTTTATTTTTTAAATCTTTTTCCTTTGTACCAGACAATTTTGGCTAAGTCTACAATGACTGATGATACATAGAAGCCAGAATGAATGATTTTACACACTTTCTTGGAATCTGTTGAACATTTCCTTTGGCAACTTCAGGTGAGTTCCTGTTGTTGTTTTCTTACTTTTCCAGTTGAGCAAGTAAGGTAAAAGGAAACCAAGCCCTTTAACTACTGAGTCATTCATGGTAGAGTTAACACAGGAAAGACACCAGGAAGGGAATCAGAAAGATCTCCTAGATACCGATTATTTGCTTCAAGTCACTAGCTCACATAATATTACACGGATGAGAAATTGTACTGTTTTGTAAATAACATAGAAAGAATATCAACTGTGCTTTATCTATGAACACATTCAGGGAAGAGAATATAGTTTGTGAAATGTAATAAGAGCAAATGGATAAGGGAGGATAAAGAAAGAAGACAAGTCAAAATTGACTGTCCCAGGAGAATAGACTGGATAGCAATTCAATTTCTTCCCTTTAATGTATATAGTAGGCAGACTGGCTTATCTTCGAATTTTTAAAGCTCTGTTAATTGCTAGTAAAAATTCACCTCACATGTAACTCAATTTCTTCTGCTTGTACTTCATTTTCTTTCATAAAATGTCTTACCTAATAATAAATATATCTGATGTGTTCTATGCCCATCATCATTTTACATACTGTATCATACCCACTGCCATCAAGTCGTTTTAGACTCCGTCACCCTTTAGGGTGGGGTACAACTGCCTCAAAGAATTTCCAAGGCTGTGAATATTTATAGAGGCAGACTACTTTATCTTTCCCCTGTCCAGCTGCTAGTAGGTTTGAACTGCCAACTCTGTGGCCAGACGCCTTAACCACATCGTCAAATTCAAGTTTAATACATTACCTAACTTCTTTTTCCCTTTGATCACGGCTGGTCTCATATGTGTCTTTCCCTTTGGTAACACTTTCTTACGTTTGCCTTTAACTCAAGTTTAGAACTCATTTCTTTTCACAATGGGAAGATGTTGCTCAGACAGTCCCTGGCAAGATATCTCTTGTAACCTTTGGCTCTGCACATGCCCTCAGACACCGTGCCTATCTAGAGAAATGCACCCACACCTTCCAGAGACGTTATCGACTCTTGCAAGTCTGGGTGTGTGTTCAGAAAGGCAAGATGGAGGGTGGAGGGGAGAAGCGCGCCCCCAAAACACGGCCCAGGGACACACACTGGAAGTTTAAAAAGAAGTGATGGAAGTTTGAAAGTAAGTGATTGTGAGGAGGGGGTATTTCCACAGAGCCTGGGCGCTGCCCGGCTGCCGAGGCCCGGCCATCTGTCACCGCAAGGTGCAGGGCTCTGCCGGCCGCGCCGTCTAACCGCTCCTTCCAGCGGCTTCGCCCAGCGCCGCCGAACCCAGCGCTCCGCAGCCGCAGAGCCCGAGCCGCACAGCCAGGGCGCCACCGCTTCCCTGCGCCGCTAGGCGGGGCTCCGCGCCCAGGCCGGGCCGCCGCCGCCCCTCCCCGAGCTCACCTGCTGGTGCTCCTCCTGCGGCTGCCGCCCGTGTCGCCGCGGGCTGGCTCCGGGCTCCCGCTCCGTCCCCGCTGCCGCCCACTTCGCCAGCGAGTCGCCGTCCTCGTCGCGCTCCTCGCTGCCGCCGCCGACTCCTCCATGGCCGCCCCGGAGCAGCCCCCCGGCCGAACACATCCTTCTCCCAAACCCCTGCCGCCCAGGACAAGCGCCTGAGGGCCGGGTCCTGAAGCTCTAGGCAGCGGCCGCCGCCGGAGGGGGGCCCGCCCTGGGATCTGCCGCGCCCGCCGCTGACACGAGCTCCTAGAGCCCGCCCCGCCGGCCCCGGCGCCAGAAGAGCCAGCCCGGCAGGGCCCCTCCTGTCACGGGCTCACCCCGCCCCTGGAGGCCGGGGCGGAGCTCACGCGCGGGGGATGGACTACGGGGAGGAGGAGGAGCCAAGGCGAGAGGGCGGGGTGTGCTGTGTGCGAGAGGCTGGAAGAGTGTGTGTAAGACAGCGTGGTTAGGAGTGTGTGTGTGTAAGACAGTGTTTTTAGGAGTGTGTGTAAGACGGTGGGTTCAGGAGTGTGTGTAAGACTGTGTTTAGGAGTGTGTGTGTAAGACTGTATTTAGGAGTGTATGTAAGACCTCTTTGAGGTGGATTGAGTGACTGGAGTAATCGGGATGGGTGTGTCAGAGGCAATGAGATTGGCACAGGATAGAGCAGGGTTTAGGGCTGTTGTACATAGGGTCGCTATGAGTCTCAAACGACTCAACGGCACATAACAGACAACAATGTAAGACAATGTGTTTAGGAGTGTGTGTAAGACAGTGTGTTTAGGAGCGCGCGAGTGTGTGTGTGTGTGAGAGAGAGAGAGAGAGAGAGAGAGAGAGACTCAGTGAGACTCAGTTCTTGCCCAGTCTTGGGTGGTGTCTATTGGGGTCTATGCATATCTAAGGAAAACAACGCCTGTGGCAATTAGTTTTGAGTGACCGAAAGATCTCCCCTATCTGGCAATGGAGCTTTAAGTGGACAATATAAACGACATATTGGTGCTTTCCTTCAAGTGGAAAACTTGCCATACCTTACAGATGTGCTGCCTACATGTGCTGCTGCCTGTCTGCCTGTTTGTCTAGTAGCTGTATGGACACTTTTTTTTTTCTTGGAAAGCTGGACAATGACTAGGGATGATAGAAGGAGAATTGAGTATGGAATTAATATACCATGGACTGCGAGGAGAACAAACAAGTTTGTTTCGAAGAGGGTAAGACCAGGCTGCTCCTTGGAGGCAAGGATTCTGAAGCTTTGTCTGACATACTTTGGACATGTTGCAAGGAGGGCCCAGTCTTTGGAGAGGGACATCATATTTGGGAGGGTGGAGGGACAGTTCAAGAGAAGAAGACCCTAGATGAGATGGACTGATTCAGTGACTGGGGTAATTGTGGTAGGTGTGTCAGAGACAGTAAGATTGGCACAAGATAGAGCAGGGTTTAGGGCTATTGTACATAAGGTCAATAAGAATTGCAGGCGACTTGTCGGCACATAACAACAATATGGTATCTCTGAAGATTTGTGTCTTTGCCTCTACAGGGATGCTTCCCTGGCATTGTGGGCTGTTGAAGCCTTTGAAAGCATTTCTTGGTATAACTGGGTTTGTGTATTTTTCTATAAAACCAAACCAAGCCAATTGTGGATTCTGACATATGACAACTCCATGTGTATGTCACAGTAAAACTGGGCTTCACAAGGCTTTTTCCAGAACTAGGTTACCAGGCCTTTCTTTCTGGGTGACTGTGGGTGGGCAGATGGGTAGACATGCCTCTTTAAATTGACAGTAAAGGGAGTACATCCAAATTATAATATTTTCTTACTACTCTCACTAATTTTTGTTAAAAGGAAATTGAGTAACTTTTAAGTATATTCTTCTTTTCTCTCTCATTGAGAAATTGATGAATTATTTATTATGTTGGTAAAGTATCAGGTTATTTGCTAATGGAAAGTATAGAGAATGATAATTTTTTGAGACTTTTTAATTATATTTTCATAAGCCCAGAAAATGAGTTAAAATAGACAGAAACTCAGATTTATTTTAAGGATCTAGTTCCACTTTTTTTTTTTTTGTTTTGTAGCCAGAGCAGTAAGTACTAGAAAATATGTCTTCAGATAGCACATATTAGAAAGAAAATAAAGCTTGTTTATTTTCCTTTTTAAAAGCCTCTTTGTTGTTTTTGGATTCCTGTTCTGACAATTTCGACTCCTGTGTGTAGGGTGGAAGAGCTTCACAAGATTTTCAAGGTTAGGGCCTTTCAGAAGCAGGTATGTCTTACCAAGTGTTTCTGGGTGAATAATCAACCTTTAGTTTATAGTAGTGAAACCCTTAATCATTTGAGACACCCAAGGACACATGAAAGCATCCACTTCCTAAACAGCATTCGTCTGGAAACTCTATGAACTTTGATAAATAACAATCGTTATAGAAAGGCTTCGGGCCTTTTGTTAATAGGGTCGCTATGAGTCGTGCTTGACTCGACGGCAATCAACAACATACACCAGTTGCTATGGAGTTTATTGTGGCTCATGACAAACTCATCTATGTCACAGAATCATAGAGTTTTCAATAGTTGATTTGGTTTTTAAAAGTAGTTTGGTAGGTCTTTCTTCTCAGGTGTTGCTGAGTGGACTTGAACTTCCAGCTTTTAGTTAGTAGCTGCGTGTGCCATTGATTTTATCTGAGTTTTCTGGAGGAACAAATTTGCTGAAATAGCTTGCAAACTTTAGGAGTGAACAAGTTTTAAATCTGTGGGTCAGATGTCAGGCAGGACACATCGCTCCATTCCCATTGTTGCAGGGCTGACCATTTCCAACTGGACAGGTCATGTGGTAGGCTGTTGGCACCTATAAGGGATGTGTGAATTTTGCGTGAATCCTAAAATCTACAGGCTATTCAGTAGACTGTTGGATCATGTTCCAAGAACTGAAGGTCAGAGGATGACTAGTTGGGTGTAAGATCAACAGTGGTGATGGACTATCACATCAGATTACACAATGGAGAATGGTTACATCATAGTTGCCAAACTACTGACAACCAAACCTAGCAAAATCAACATCTAAACTTAACTCTCATAGTCTATGCTTTGCCAACTTGGTGTCTGTAAATTTATGTTAATGTTAATTTCCATTGACTAGACTATGACTCATTAGTGACCCTGTAAATGACTGTTCTGAACTCTGTCTTATGCAGTGCCATCCACATTACCTCTGATATACTTGAGTCCACTGATACAGTCACTGTGCCAATTCATCTTATCTTGTCAAGGGTCTTCCTCTCTTTTGATAACGCTGCACCTTTCCAAACACGGTGTCTTTTTTCAAAGACTTTTTCAGGCCTTGTAACAATATGCTCAAAGTATGAGAGATGAAGTTGGATCATCCTTGTCTTTAAAGAGTATGCGAGTTGCACTTTCTCCAAGACTTGTTCTTTTGTCAGTCCACGGTATATTAAATAATAATAGTTGTATTAACATGTTGTTCTTGTATGTGTATGGATAGGAACCTATCCCTCACAGCACTGAACTTTAGAGTAGATCTTGAAATGGCCTTTTTGACTATAAATTCAATACAACTCTTCCTCAATTTTTAATTTCCAGCATAAGAGATCATATGATTATGTAATTCAAAGTGCCCCATAGTGATCCATCTCAGCTCAGTAATGCTTAGAATGTTGATCTTTATGTATACCATCTTATCTCTGATCATTTCCAATTTTCCTGGAGTCATATGTGGTTCAAAAATTAATGTTCAATTCATTCCATGTTCCAGTTATTAATGGGTGTTTGCCATTGTATCTCCTCATTTTTTAATGTCTTCCAGTCTGATAGCTCTAGTTCCGGTACCATATCTAACGATGTTTCTCAATTATAAAAATGTACATGATGTTGTTAGGTGATGTTGAGTAGAGTACAATGCATAGCAATCCTATGAACAACAAACCAGAACCTTGTCCTATCCTGTGCCATTCTCATATTCTCTAACATGCTTAAGTCAATTGCTGCAGTCACTGTGTCAATCCATCTCTTTAAAGGCCTCCCTGTCTTTCACTTTCTCTCCTTTCCACACATGATATCCCTAGCCAAAGAATAGCCAGCCTTTCTTAGTAATATACCCAAATTATGAGAGATAAGACTTCGCTATTCTTGTCTCCAGGGAGCTCTTTGAATGCAATTTCTCCATGTCGTTTCGGTTTCTTTTTTTGGCAGTCTGTGGGATATTCAGTCCTCTTCTCTAACACCACATCTCAAAGGCGTCAATTCTTCTGTCATTTTTATTAACTGTCCAGCTCTCAAATGTATATCAAGTGATTGAGTAGACCATGGCCTGAAGCAGGCACACCTTAGTTTTCAAACTGACATCATTGCTCCTCAGGAATTTGGAGAGGTCACTGACAGCAAATTTTCCCATTGCAATTTGTTTCCTGATCTCCTGACTGCTGGTACCAAGGAAATTGTGGATACAAACAAGATAAAATTATTGACAAGTGTAATCCTTTGTTCATTTGTCATGATGTCCCTACTGTTCCAATGGTGAGGACTTTTGTCTTTTCGATGTTGAGATGTAATCAGTACTGAAAGAAGTCTCTGGTCTTCTGCAGTAAGCACTGCAAGTTCTCACTTTCATCAAGCAATGCTGGGTTATCTGCATTAAGCAGATTGTTGCTGAGTCTTCCTCTGATCCTGACATCACACTTCTTTAATTACTTCCTGTGGATGTAGCTTGAATAGGTATAAAGAAAGGATAAACTCTGAAATACATATCTATTAATTTTAAACTGTGGTATTCCTTTACTCTCTTGGCACAACAGCCTCTTGATCTGTGAAGCTGCACTGCTATCCCAAAGGCATGGGGTTAGAACTCATCAGCAGGATGAACAATCTGCTTTGATAAAATTAACTGCCTCTTAAAACCTGCTGGAAGGTTGATTATGAGACAGTTCCAACCTGACCGGACACAACAACAGCAGCAAGCATAATTGTTCTAGGTTTCCTAATCTTCTCAATGTTAGCCATAATTTGTTATGATCTAAACAGTCCAATGCCTTTGCAAAGTCAATAAAGCATGTTGCTGTTATTAGGTCTGTCGAGTTGAGCACAACTCATAGCAACCTTATGAACTAAAAAGATCTGAAACCTGTTCTATCCTC